ACAATCTGACTGCCTTCTATGATGACATGACTAGCTCTGTGGATGCGGGCACCCTACATGGTAGATGAAAACTGGTTGGATCATTGGGCTCAAAGGGAGTAATCAATGGCTTTGTCTAGTTAGCAGGCAGTATCAGGTGGAGAGCACCAGGAGCTGATCCTGGGGCCATCAAATGACCAGGAAGATGGGATGGAGTATACCCTCAGCAAGTTTGCAGATGACACAAAGTTTTGGGGGTAAGCAGGGTGGGGAGCAGTACATACACAGGAGGGTAAGACTCGGATTCAGAGACACCTTAAATTAGAGGGTTAGACCAAAAGAAATTTCATGAGGCTCAATAAGGACAAATGCAAGTCCTGCACTTAGGACAGAACTATCAGTCACTGCTGCAGGCTGTGGATGAACTGGCTAAGCAGCAGAACTGGAGAAAAGGACTGGGGGTTACAGTGGACTAGCTGAATATAAGACAACAGTATGCCTTTGTTGCAAAGGCGGTTAATGACATACTGACCTGCATTAGTATGAGTGTTGCCAGAAGATAGAGGGAAGTGATTATTCCCCTGTATTTGGCACTGGGGAGGCTACAGCTGAGGCCACATCTGGAGTACTGTGCCCAGTTTTGGGCCCCCACTGTAGAAAGGATGTGGAAAAATTGGAGCGAGTCCAGCAGAGGTCAACAAAAATGGTTTGGGGGTTGGGGCACAATAGTTCTGAGGAGAGGCTGAGGGAACTGGACTTATTTAGTTTGGAGAAGAGAAGACTGAGAGGCGATTTAATAGCAACCTTCAATTTACCTGAAGAGGAATTCCAAAGAAGATGGAGCTAGACTGTTCCCAGAGGTGGTAAATGACAAAACAAGGAGCTTCAAGTTGAAGCACAGGACGCTTAGGTTGGATAGTAGGAAAATACTCTCACTAGGAGGGTAATAAAGAACTGGAACAGGTTCCTCGGAGGTTGTGGAATCTCCATCCTTGGGGGTTTTTAAGACCTGACTGGACAAAGCCTTGTGGAAGATGATGATATAGGTGGGGATGGTCCTGCTTTGAGCAGAGGGTTGGGCTAGATGACCTCCCAAGGTCCCTTCCAATCCTCATTTTTTATTACTCTATAACACCTGGTTCTGGCCATGAAAGGGGGCTAATAAGTATACATGAAGTACCTGGAGTACACACACACAGCACTGTTGAGCTGTGAGGTCACCATGGCTTGAAATTCTGTTGACTCGGGTGGGGCCCAGCTCGATGAACTACATGGTAAAATCACAAGCTTTTGGCTTTGAACTAATATCATGCATAGTTTGTTCTATGTAAGTAGGTGGCAAAGTGCTGCTCAAAAGTGTCCTCATGGAGTATCCGTGCTAAAACTTGCAGCAGTTTCAAAAAAAGGTAACATATATCAATTCTGGATGAACTAAGGTCATGGGTACTATGTGCAATACTAGAGCCATGTTTAATTTCAAGGTTATTGTTCTCAAATTTGCTCCTCACTTATGTGATCAGGAGGACTAAGGTTTGACAAGAAGAGGGGGAAGAGGCTGCCAGGCAAAAAAGTTGGAGGGAAGCAGAAAGCAAAGAAGCTACCTGACTCTGCAGATTTATTTTTCTTGCTGTAGCAGTGGGAAGGGAATAAATTCAAGGCAAGCCTCCAATAAATTAGATTCTATACCTGGATAATTGTAATAAACTTTTAAGTTTTCCATATGTAGAATCTAATTACTGGGGGGGGGCATCTTTTAATTAGGGTCATCTTCTATTCAAGCAAATATGGTGCCAATTTATATATACAGTTATTTACTGCCACATTTACACTTTTGAACTGATATAACCCCTGTTTACCAATGAGAGAAATATCTCTTTTGGAAAACTGAGTTTGTTATAGGAGATATTTCAACTATTTTACTTATGAAAAATAAGATTTGTTCTATATAAAATTGTCCCGTGCATCTTCCTTAGCATGTAGGGTTTTCCCAATTATGAACCAAAGTAGAAGTTAAAAAAATAATAATAATAATAAAAAAAACCCTCTCGTACTAATTAGTTCAGCACCTGAAGATCAGACATTTCACCTGGATGCAAGAAGAGAACTCCTCCAAAGCTCTAGAGCAGGAGTCGACAACCCCCGGCACACATGCCATTAGTGGCATGTGGAGATGTTTTTCCCAGCACGCCTGAAGGCATGCAAGAAAACTGTTTCGTTTGGTTATTTTTTTTTAAGTCCTGCTCTGGGCTCTCCTGTGCAGCCACAAGTCCCAGCTCTGCAGGAGGCACTGAGACGGAGCCAGAAGAATACAGGCAGGGATGCCGTCTGTGTTCTACTGCCCCTTGCTCCCAGGCTGCGCCCTTCAGCCCAGCTGGCCCCTGGAGGGAGCTGCAGGTGGACAGGGCTGGGGCAAGAGAGGTGCTGTGTACGGTTGCTGCCCTGAAGGCTTCCAGCAGGTGGCAGAGCCCTGGGCCCAGGCAGCAGACACCCTGTCCCACCCAGGCAGGGCCACACTGGGGTGCTGAGGGCAGGCAGTCAGGGCAGGCACCACGAGCAAGTCAACCAAGTCAGGCCCTTAGGAAGGTGGGGGCTGGATGGGAAGTGGGGGCTGCCTCAGGGCTCTGCAGGCTCGAGCTGTGGGGGTGCCCAGCAGCACCCATGGTGGGGTCTGGCCTGGCCCATGCAGCTCCGCAGGGATGGGCTGCAGCCACCCTGCGCACAAGGGGATGCTGCCTGGCTGGGGCAGGACACCAGGCTTGGGGGGCTTCCCTCACCAGGATCGGCTTCCCTGCATGCTGGGCACATTGCAAGCAGGGCAGAGCCATCCCCGGTGCAAGGGCCTGGCCACGGGAGCCCCCTGGACCCTGGGAACAGCCACCACAGCTGCCCCAGCCTGCCTGCGCCCCAGCCTTACCCACCCAGAGTTCCCCTCAAGGGACCAGAGCCCAGGCAGGCACTGCACAGAGCTGTTGCACTGCTGGCTCCCAGCTGGCTCAGCCCCAAGCACCCACTGTAGCAGCTCTACTCAGAGACTGGGGTAACAGCCTGCAGCTGCAGCTCCCACTCGCACTGTACCCAGCATGCACAGAGGCCAAGAAGGAAGCCCCCTTAGCCCAGAGCCCTGCCCCAACCAGGAAGCATCCCTTCACAGGCAGGGTGGCTGCACCCCATCCCCGTAGAGCTGCACGAGCCAGTTGGGCCCCACCTCCAGTGCTTCTGGGCTTATCTACTGTGGCCTGAATCTGAGGAGCCCTGGGGCAGCCTCTGCTCTCCACCTGACCCCTGCTCTCATCCTGCCATGTACCACCCCCCCCACTCCCCGCCCCAGTTTTGTTTTTGTGACATGCCAGCACTCTGGCACCTTACAAGGTAGACATTGTAGTTTTGTCAGCACTCTGGCCAAAAAACATTGCGTGCCCCTGCTGTAGGAGGACAAGTGTAGGAGACCGTATACACACTATAAGTAGATCTTATTCCCTGACCTATTCCCAGAACACCATAACCACAGTTCTAGCTACATGAGTGTAAACTTCAAAAGCTTTTAGGCAGAATATAAATATTGAATTGTACATTACATCAGGCAATAATTTGGGGGGGCAGACATTATGCATTCCTCGAGGTCCTTCTGGCATCCTATTTTTAGTATACTGAACTACTTTGACACTAAACAGTGTTTTTGTGTGTCTGACTCCACATCTGTTCCTCCCATAGGCTGTGTGCAAAGTAAAAAAAGATTATATCATTTATACCAATGGTGCTCAACCTTTCCCCAGCAGGCCAAATGGGCAGTGCCTGGTCTAACTATGGGCCGCATGGTGGTTCTGATCCAGCAGCCAGGGGGCACTATCTGGCCACCACTGCCTCACAGAGACTTCCTGACTAGTGGGGAGCACTATGGGCCACATACAATAGCTCTGTGGGCCACAGGTCAAATTATACTATTACCAAGTCTAAATTTTGAAGAAACCTTTTACAGTGTTTTGCCTTTTTTATGGTCCTGAATTATTAAGAAAGCAATCATATTAGTATTTAAATTTATAAGGTAACTGCAATTTGAGGAAATTCAGAGTAGTTGAGATAACAGAGCTTTTACTCTGTGTCTGTCTGTCTGTTATCTGGCATCCCCCAGGAATGGGGGATGCCAGATAACAGAATATGCCGGTTAATTCAGCAGCCCGGGCCGCTGCTTCTCCTGCCGCATCTGGGGTGCCTTGCTGCCCCTTCAAGGGGCCCACACAGGTCCGCACAGCCTGCTATGCCCCCAGGCCGTGAGGGATCGGCAGCACAGGCTGCTTTGCCCCGGGCCGTGGGGGCTCGGAGAAACCGAAGTGCCACAGTAGGCACCTCCGGTTTCACTTTATCTTACAAACCAGCATGCCAGTTAATTGAGCATGCCAGCTTGTAAGATGCCAGTTAACAGAACTTTTACTGTATAATTTATATTATAGCTATATATAAAATGAAGTGCATGTCTGTTCACTTATAACTTGAGAATGGTTGGTCTTATCTACTCAACCTTCCAAAATCACTGAGTACCACCTGAGAAAAAATTTTAGGCAAGTTATTTTTCACTTGACCCTTTTTGGGGCTTCCAGTGACTATTTAAGGGAACAATGTTTTTCACACAGACAGTTATATGTGGCTTGCTCCAGAGTTGGTAGTCAAAGACGGTTGTGTATGCTAGTGCCAACAGGAGGCACCATAAACTTTGTTTACAAAGAAGTTCTACAATAAAGATCATTCATTTGGATCTCACCTGAAGTGCTGCTCAATATTGACTATGTTGTACTATATTCTTTAAAAATTAAACAATATTTTTTACCTAAATATGCTGTACGAAGTTATTTGAAAATAAACAAACACTGCAATTACAAAAATAATGACGTAAGAGAAGAACAGGTCCTTCCACTAGTCTATAAAATGTGTGTGAGTGTGAGAGAGAGAAAGAACAGAAGCAAGATACAGTACTTTTAAAAATACAAACAAGTGTCACAGTATTGGAGAAAATATTAGACACTCACTGAACCTTTGGAAGCCATTTCGTTCTTTGGCATTTCAGCTTTTCTTTCCAACTGGGAACAGCTTTCCATTTGGATATCACTATTAGGACACGTTGGACTACATGACATCTCAACAGGATCAACACTTGAATTCAGTGGTTCTTGTACATTAACCATGTCATTTTTCCTGTGGTGTGATAAAATGCATCTTTTAGGGAAAAATATTTTAAACTTTATATCTACTGAGGTCCACCATGAGACTTTAAAAATACTTTCATCCAAATAACATAATAAAGCTAAGACTTCCTTTTAACAGAACAACAAAGACATCCACTGCATTACATTGATCATATATTTTAATTTTTTTAGAATAAATGTCCCCTGCTTTGTTACTGCATAGGACAAAAATACACCTAGGGGATGAGCCATGTGATTACCTGAAGGCAGCCCTTCAATTTAGTACTGCTTGAGGTTCAAAGATTAATACTACATACATTATACAAATACATAAAGTAAAACTTAGTTTTCCCTTACATGTACTACCAACCAAATAGCAAACTGGTTTTGCCTCAATTTATTTGTTAGAGATATTAACTTACAATGTTATTTTTTTTAAATAAAGTGAATGAATGAATGAATTTTATAAATTAATAATTTAACAAGATACCTGACCACAGGCTGAAAGTGCAGAAGTACAGAACTGAGTTTTCTCCCTGAACTGAAATTTGACACTAAAAATGTTTCCATTTTCAAATTTTACTAGGTTTTTGCTTTGAACAAAATTAGAAGCTTTGTTAGATGTTTCAATGTAGTTTGTATATAATAAAAACAGCAAATAAAGTTTTTCCAAAATTTGGACATCAGTGTACAAAGAAATTTTAAAATGCCGTTACTAACTTTAAAATATCATTACAATTCTTTCACCTTACTTTACCATCTGCCACACTACTAGCTCCTTCCTCTCCACAACTTAGAAAGTATGTAGTATCCTAGAAATAGAGTGAGTTGCCATTTAAGAATAATCATTTTGGTGACTATAAGAACCATCGGAAGCAAAATGTCTAATCAGTTTAAGTATTTCAGTTTCTCAAATCATCTGGTTGTTGGGTCAATGGCCTTTACAGTTTATCTTCCTCCTCTAAAATGTTATGGAAACTTATATGCATAAGGAAGGTAAGTAGAAGGGGTTACTTTAACATAAAACGTGCTCCGCTACCAATAAAGATTTCTATTTCTGTATATACCATACTGCTTCTAATATTGTTTAAGACAGATAAATAATTTCATGATTTACACCACTCAGGCTTTCACTGGGACTTGGACATTATGCCTTTGGAAAAACATCTATTGTGTAAACAGATAAAATAATACTTTCATTCCATGCATCAGATCACTAACAATTAAATATTTAATCCAGGAAGCAAGATTAGCAAAGTTTTCTTGCCTAAGATATTACTTTATAACCTGACCTATTGAAATACCAAGAACGCAAAAGCAAAATCTCTTGCACAGATTATTAACCTTCCCCAATTATTCAGTACTATAAGAACAATATTTAAAAAACTTTAAGCAGGCTTTTACATTTAAGTTTTATTCATTCAAGACCTGCTGTATGTAAAAATCTGTAAGACAAGTTTATGTTACTAATATAATACTATCATTTTTCCACTTTAGGAGTCATTACCTTAGTGTACTTTCCACATCTGAGTGAGCAAAAAGGACCTTGAAAAGATATTTGTCTATTAACAGGGAAAAGCTGTCACCTGGGTTCAAAGAGTGCCACTCATGTGTCTCCAGTGGTAATAGGTCACCATTTTCAGATGACTGAAGAAAACAAGGATTTACATGGACCTGTCAATTAAAGAGATCAGCATTGGTATATAGTTTACTTCACTATAGCTGCCACATGATCTCACATGTAGCAGCCTAGCTTTTATGTAATTAACAACTATTCTACTTCGGTTTTGGAATGGCTGCTGGTATGATAAAATAATAATGAAGTATAATATTGGAAACAAAATCTACTACTACTTGTGCCAAACACTGTGAAGATACTGAGACCTGCTCAAGAGCAGTTATAATAATAGTTGATATGTTCACTTAGATTCATTTTGTTTACTTACCATGAACAAATTATCTTACCCCCAAATTTACAATACAAATCTAATGAAGATTTAATTTTGGGGAAATTGCAAAAGAGTTAGTTATAAAGTTTGCTTTAGTAACCTATTTTATAAGTTCAGATATTACAGACTAACAATTTATGGATCTTTCTAGTCCCACTCAGATTTCCTAACTACCACGTTTCTGAACATCCAAGATACCTCAGGGTCTCTGCTATAGGCTTTTGCATACCAAAGAGAGAAACATCCTAGAGGCTAGGAAGAACAAGTCCTTTGGCCAGCAAAAAATTTCTTTTTTACTATAGATTTTCAAGCGAGAAGTCCTTCTGAAACTGACAATTAAATGGATGGGCGAGTCTTAAAACTGATCAACAAAACAGAAAGAATAGTTGTTACAATTGCTCGGCACCATAAAAAGCCACTTAAATTGTCTTCTTACAACTCTATATCTGATGCTGACAGACTATAATTTGTACCTATTTAAATCAGGGATGTTTCACTTCTAAGTCAGGGATGAGCAACCAGTTGCACCAAAGGGCCACTTACAAAGTTTTGATAAGCTGTTGCGAGCTGGGTCAGCACCACCCCTCTCCCTGGCCTGCAACAGTTCACCAAAACTCCCCAAATGGGTCTGCCCCGAGGCCCAGCCCCATGCTGTCACTACCCAGTAATCCAGACGCCACCCCAGGGTCTTCATTGAGACCAGCCTGGGACCCACATGGGCAGGGTGCACTTGGCCAAATGGATGGGATGGGGCCGCAGGCAGGCAAGCAACGGCATCCGAGAACAGGATGGGAAGGGTTTTGTGACATCATGGGGCCAGGGCCCTGGACAGAGCCGTGATGTGCTCCCAGCATGCCCCTGTCCATGGTACCAGTGGCCATTGCAGGGATGTGTGGACAGCGGGTCACGGCTCTGCCCTAGGGCATGGCCCCATACTGTCGCCTCTCCGTGATCCCATCATGCAACACCAACTGTACCCCCGGACCCCACCCACCTGTCCTGCTCCTGAATGCCGCTCCCCATCCACCTGCGGCCCCATCCCATCTGCCTGGCCGAGCACTCACTGCCTGCAGATCTAGATCCCTGGCTGGTCTCCATGGAGACCTCACCTGCGTGCTCTGTCTGGCAGCCCAGCGATGGATGCAGAGTTGACGGGCCAGGGTGCCCAAGCAGCAAGACCAGGTCTGACAGTGATGCCAACACTAGAAGCAGCTGCTAGAAGGAGCCACCACTGCCAGGGCTGTCAGGAATTAGAGTCCAGACACTACACCATCCCAGCCCTGCTGTGTGCCATGGGGCAGCGGGACTGGCCACACGCACCACAGCCTGAGCCATGCACCTGGGCTTCATGTGGCCAAGAGACCCAGCACGAGACATATAAAATCCCTTGGCAAGCTGAATCCAGCCCACAGACCATATTTTGCCCACTGCTACCCTAAGTGGTCAGTGGCTACACACTAGGGGTGTGCGAAGTAGGCAGTATTCAATTCAGATTTGGATTTAGCCCAATTCAGGGGGCAGTGATTCAATTCACTGATTTGGATCACTGATCCAATTCAATTTGGCCAGGAAGCACCAGTCACCAAGCCAGGGGGGAGCAGAGGGGGCATACGCTCTGTGGCAGATCCAGAAGTGGACCAAAAGTACTTCTGGTCCACTTCTGGGTCCACCACTGAGCACGTGGGGCACCCGCCCACACTCCTGTGGGACGCTCCATCCACCCCACCATCTCAGTACCACAAGGTAAGTAGAAAAAAAAAAAACATATAAAGCCATGTCTATGGCCAAATCATCGAATCTCTCCAAATCGAATTGGAGACTTCTGATTCAATTCAGAAAGATTAATGGGTCTCCTGATTCGGAGATTAGGCCGCCGAATCAAATCAGTGATTGAAGCTTTACCTCTCAGGCAGCACTGGGGGAGAGGGGAACAATGGGTCCCTGGGGCCACACACTAGGTACACTCCATCCCCCATGTTGCACTGTGCACCCTCTATTTTCCCATCACGCCCTATGCTCTCCCTGCATACGAAGAAATGCATAATTTCACCCTTTGAGAGCCACATGCAGCCCACAAACTGCCAGCTGAACAGCCCTGATTTAAAATTTTTAATGACGGACATAACAAATATGCAAATTCATAAAGACAAGCTAATGATTTAGGGAATGGCCTAACAATATGATTTTGGTTTGCTTAAGAAAATCCAGTAATGATTCCGCCCCCCACCCAGATATCTCATCTTTGCAGCACAAAGTAGCACATTTAATTACCTATATACTTTTTAAAAAGGTACATTCTAACTCTACTGACATGAGAAAAAGGTAACATGTGCTTTCAATCAGTCTAAAAGTTAAATTAGTCATATGTCATGAAGTGCCCAAGTAATTTAAAGGAGTAATTTAACTCTTCCTTCTTGCAACAGTTATTAATCCTTAACAATTACCCTGTTTTATTAGACCTGCTGGAACTTGAATTTTTCTTTAAAACAAAATTTACCTATTCTCTTGTTTTTTCCTACTTTTAACATCAAACCAACAAGCTACAGATGATTGAAAAAGATGAATAAGAGCAGTCTAAAAATACTGGAGGAAATACTGTATAAAATTTTTTTAAAAAGCACTGCACATTTCCTAGGATGAAAGCAGGCTTCAAGTCAGAGGTCTTCAGTTCAACAGCTATTTGCCAGCCCAGTCTGAATCATTTTGGGTGTATAAATTTAATCAGTCTGGATGATTATGATAGTTATAAATTTGCAAAAGAGGTAAAGGGCAAAGATTACAGATATATAGAATTCAATTATCAGTTAAAGAAGGAGGACCTGTGATTGCGTTACACCTTGCACATGAAACTTAAGAAGCAGATTAGTAACATCACCCTGATAATCACTTCTATATTGAATGCTACATGACTTAGCCAATGCTGGTATTTTTCTCTGCACAGATGGCAAGTTAAAGAAAAAGAAAAAAATCTACATTTGAACTGCTCTAAAAATCAGAGACACTTTAGACTATAAAGATCATTTCAAACCCCAGTCAAAAGTTAAAGAGACTTATGTCTGCCTACTTTCATGTTACCCTCAATGCCCATAAGCAGCCAAGGCAGCCTCATCACACTGTATCAGACTACTTTTCTTATAAAATCTTCTATTGGCAGTATCCACATGCTATATTATTTCATACTGAGAGCCCTTCAGGACATGGATCTGGTCTTTTCTACCATGGGTGCAATCATCTGCAGTGAAGTGCTGCATACTATCAAAATGCTGTACAAATAAGATTCACTGAAAATATCATATATACATATAATTAAAGCTATTAAAATTCCTATCTAAAGTACAGGACTCTTCATTTTTAAGGTCTGTTTAGTTCAATTGCTGTTGAAACAAGGTTTAGATTAAAAGTGTGACACAGAGAAGGTTACAACATTGATCTGCATAGTATCTTTCATCTTACGGAGATCAGATAAATGGAGAATGAAATGGATAGGGAGGAAGATTCTGCTTGTTTTACATTAGCACAGGAGCCTATTGCCTGGAAAACTAGTGAAGCAATGACATGACAATAGGAACAGTTGAATAGTGAAAGGATGGGATTTGCAATTAAATAACAAAAAATGGTGATCAAAAATTGCATCCTTGTAATTGCTCAGGTTTTACACTCTTGCCTCTCATGACAGCATCACATCATTAGCTCCACAGTAAGAATTTTCCACACCATAGTTTCTCAGCCTGTGGATAGCAAGAATATATGAAAGAGCCATGAACAAACTTTAAAAACGGATCAACAAACTTTTAAAATGGATTCTCCTTTAAAAGGAGAAAAATGGGGGAAACCAGGGGTTTTCCCTTGCAGGCTGGCAAAGTTCTAGCCTGCAAGAGATGCTTGCCCTCCCACCTCCCTCATCCCCCATACACCCCTCTCTACACCACAAACTCACCCCCTAGCCCCACATACTGTGAGGCTAGGGGAGCATAGGGTCAGGAGCAAAGGGGCATTGGTAGGGCCAGGAGGTTATTTTCTACTTAAACTATTTACTGGGTCAGGACTGACTGGCCATCAATGTTTACAAATGGGTCCAGCTATAAAAAAGGGTTGAGAACCACTATTCCAGACAAAGGCAGAATTCCCAGTGTAAAAACTAGCAGATTCCCTGATCCAGCCATGATCACCAAAATACCCCAGGTTTTTAATGCACTATAAAATATCAAAAGAGAACAGAAACCCCTTTCCCCACCACCACCACTTGGTGAAAACATGAAACCAACATTTTTGAATTGCAGAAGTAGCTTTTGATGCTATCTATGCAGACAGATAATGGGGCTCTTCTAGTTATGAACTTCACCTTGTTTGCTACTCATGTTTTCGAGCAGATTAGTTGCTCTTCAGATAAATATAGTGTGTGGTTCCACCCCTTGAAAATTAAGTGCACGTGAGACTTCAAAACACGTGTTCAAAAAAGTGTGTCCCCAAGAGACACACATTTTGATTTTACAGCCTACCTCAATTTGTTGTGAGTTCATTTAAAACCAATAGTACAAGCAGGCTGGAAAAAGGATGCTGCCAAGTAGCCTCTAACAAATAGAAAAGTTAGGTCTCTTGTCAGCCGCACAAAAAAGGAATAATAAAGCAGACAGATCAATCACAGCAGCATCAAGCTACCAGTCAGGAGTGAAAAGAAACTAAAGAAAGAACTGCAGAGAAGAGCAACAGAAATGAACCACCTGTCTGGAATAGGACTAAGGGTGGTCCAGATGTCAGCAACAGTAAATGCCTTGAGAGAAACACATTGACAAGCACATAGGAGCTTGTTTCAGCTGGCTGTGTGATCAGAGTACAAGCCTGTAACAACTGAAGAAAAACAAAACTAGCTTTAGATTTCTGGACTACAGTCAGTTCAAAGGGAACAGGAAAAAAGACCAAACAGTTTAAATCAAAGTTTAAACCTATGAGCAAAATAAGAAATGTGGGGCTGCCCATAATCACAGGGCCACAGCCCATGAGGCTGCCCAAAAATCTCAGATGACATGGGCCAGAGACATGAAGCCAGTTTGGTTGGCCACGCCTTGTTTAAATGGTTTAAAATTTCCCAGCTAAGTCCATATAAATTGCATAATACATTTTAGAGGCTTACAAATTTAGTAGAATCTTTTACATAAATTACCTGGTTCAGAGCAGTTCCTAAGAACTTCCGCTTTTTAATCTACTCCCTCTTATTCCACATTTGAGGAGTTTGGAAAAGTTGGTAAAGTTTCCTAGGTATATCTGTTAATTTCACGAGCTGGTTACAAAGCTGAGTGATTATATACCACTTGGACCACATGGGATCAGAGGCCAGACTTAGGAAAAAGGCACTTTTGACCAATATTAGGCAGTTACTAACAAATGAAGAGGGGAAAGTAAAATGAATGCCTTTATGTGCAGTAGCCCAAAGAACCCTTGAGGCTACTTTTCTGTAAAAAGAAAATGTATGGGCCTCATTCCACTATCATTTGGGTAAGCAAGTTCTAGTATTGTAGGCTGTTGTATATACCTATAAACGTGAAAAAAACCTACAACTAAAGTTTGCAGTGTTACCTGAAATACAGATGATGTTTAAATATACATAATGGATAAAAAGTTTCTGAAAACAAGACAGCTGGAGAGAATGTTTTTATTAACTAATGCATATTATAGAAATCAGTAACGTCATTAACAGGCACAAGCAGAAAAAAATCATTTGAACTTGCCCTCCAATTTGCACATTCTCTTTTCTAAGCACTCCTCATTAACCGCAACAAAACACTCCATTTTTTTTCCATTTTGACTTACTACCAGTTATTCAGTTGCAGCAAGAAACACAAAAAGAAAATCATAAAAAGGAAAAAAATAGATTTGGTAACTTATAAAGCCAATCAAATGTCAGTGAAGAATGAATAATTCTTGTATAGCTTATACTTGCTATCTAAAGAATTCAATAATAAATCTATACATGATAAATCTTAATACACCTTCATACATGACAACTTCAATTTCATTGTTAAAATAAAGGGCACTAAAACCATTATTTCAAAAATAAAAACAAAGCAACCAAAACATAATTCACTAGTAACAGACAAAAATTTCATTAAGGTCAGTTTACAACTAACTTTCAAGATGTTAGCTGTCTCTTCAAATTTTTCCGAAGGAAAACAGTAAAAACCAAGGAAATTATTCAAGGCTAAAAAAAACCCCAAAGATGTTAAGGCAAGGAAGAGACAGTTAAAGATTGTAAAAACCCTTAAGCCTGTAGAAATATAATGCAATGCCTGTAACTGGAATCACAGCACTGTAGCATTTGTGATCCAAAATTAAAAACTTAAAGACATAAGAAGTCTTATTTCCCTGATGGTTTCAGTTTAGAATACAGCTAAGCAACCATTTCAGACATCTCTTTAGTATAGTCTTCACTCTGAATTTTTCAGGTTTAACCCAGTTGTAATTGTGATAAGGGTAAAATGTTAGAGATGATTTAATTAACCTGCCAATACAAGCTCAATCTTTACTCTATTACTGTAGTTTAAAGTTATTATACAAACACTTAAAAAGGTTCCAGAAATAATGCTACCAATCAACATGTAGTATCAACCTTATTGTTCCAATTTATGGGAAGATTCACCAAACATGAAATAGAGCCAGAGTACACCCATCACATATGGTGACACTGCACAGTACCCTGCAAAACCCTTAACAGGATCTTGTGGCATCCCAAGGTACAATGGCACCCTGGGTGAGAATCATGCGTTTAGCAAGTCATATTTACGTAACTGGCACTAAGTGAGGGAAGGGAAGGTAGAGCTTAGTCCAACTCTCAGTGCTTTCAGGGATCCCCCACAATCTGGCCTCATAGCACCGGTTTCAACATGCAGTGAAGCTAAGGCAGCAGTGCTTTGAGCTGCTCTACAAGTACTGATTTCCAAGCTGGTGTACAGCCACAAGATCCTTGAAGTGACAAGGACAAGTACCAGTGAGAATGCTTGAAACATATTTATTCTCCCTCGTACAAACTCAGCCATTTAAACCAACAAAATTGTTGCATGCAAATAGTGTAAAGGAAGAACAATGATTTGTTGAACTCTGATGTCATAGTGACCTTGCTTAATAGATACCAGAGCTGTTGTCCTAAACTAGCCAGTAATCCATAACCATAGTGCTTAGTCATTAATAGCTTAGCTTAAGTAGAAACCATTTTTTTTTTCAAATACAGCTTAATGCACAAGATCACAATGAATTTTAACAACAGAGAAAGTGCGAAGAGTTTATGGGCTTATCTAGAGCAGCCAGAGACAACAGGCACAAGAGTGGGTGCTCAGGATAAGTCTGGAACAGCCTAACAGACATGCTTATGCTATGGAGTACATCAGCTGACTCTAGGAGGGCTTTCTTAGCTCCGGTCTTCTGGGGTACCTATACACGAGGGTGGAGGCTACTCCAACATGCTGTAATTTCAGTGCATCAGAGCAGGCTCAATTAATCAAATCTGCTGGAACGTGGCAATTACCACGCTCCAGCCAGCTTCTGCATCTTTTGTATCAATGTCCCTCCACTTCAAAATGGCAGCAGGATCACCTAAAGTAAAGCTTGTCAAACAAGCTTTAGTTCAAGCACCCCACCACCATTTTGAAGCACAGAAATGCTGATACACAAGACGCTGCAGCACTTTGAAGTGGCCCTCAGAGCCACTCTAATTAAAATGCCACACCTCCACCCCAGAGCATGTGTAAAAGTGCCCCCAGAGTCCTGTGACTGATATAGCATAGATAAGCCCAACATTATTCTATTAAGATGATTCAAGTCAAAGAAAATACTAGCAGTGTCTAAATTTCTTAACTTAATCATCAGATTTACTGGCAAACTAACAACAATAGATTCTGAACTCAGAGTGAATTCTTACGGTTTGGGAAAACTATACTGTATCTTTCATCCAAAAAACACAAAACCCCTGCTTTAAAAGTGAAAACATAACAACTATAGCAGGGGTAGCTAACCTGCAGCACCCATGGCGTAAGTGACACAGGCAGCCCGTGTGTGTGGCATGCAGTAGATAAGGGAGGGGACAGACAACAGCAGATCAGGCAGCAAATAGAAAGCAGAGCAGTAGTTTGGGTAGGGAGCACAGGGCAAGGAACAGAAAGCAGTGCAGCAGATTGGACAGAGGAAGGGGATCAGAGTAGCACTTGTGGAAGTTGCAAAACTAAGTTGTAGTACACCTGCCAAAGAGGTTGGCCCCCAGTGAACTACAGAATCATGACAAGCACCTCCAGAATTATGCTTTATTCCTTTTAGACACTTCCAATGTTACATTAGCAGATAAACAAAGTTATTCAGTTTTTTGCCACCAAATGGTATTCGAGATACATGAATAAGAAGGGGACAAGGAGTCAACTGTCCTGGATCCAGCATAACTTGTTTTTTAGTGAATCAGTCTCTGTAAAGTGGGATCCCCACCTTGTGAATATACTAATACATCTGGAAAATGTCAACGTTTTTGCATAATGTAAGTTTCACTCTAAGAATTGCTTTTTAAAATTCCACCATGTCATTCAAGTCAGCGTCAGACATTCCTGATGATCTGCTTAAAGAGTTCTCAGTAAGAATCACAGGAAGTCACCAGAATCTTATAAAGTAGGTTGTGAAAACTGGCTGTTACAAAAGAATCAGGAAGTCAAGTTACCGGTTTGATGCGGAGCTGGTCACCCACCACTTCTAATATGGCATGTTTCCTAGATACTCGCTTATCTGTAATCTGGAGGGGTGGAAAAAAAGAAAGGGAATCAACAAAAGCAGACTGCAGCATTTATACCATTGGAGCAAATAAAGCAAGTACAATCAAAGCAAATCAAAACAAACAAATTACAAGGTCATACTGAATACAATTTCAGCAGGACATAGTATTCAGATATGAAGTAGATCCACATTATCAATTTACTTTATCCTCATTTTTAAAACTAACCCAATGACATTTTATACTAAAAGCTAAATTAAAATGTTTCTGCTGCAATTTTCAGAAACGACACCTCCTAAAGTTAAATACACATTTAGTAATTTACCCTGAAGAGGTAGATTGATTTTTTTTTCAGACCACTGAGCATGCAGCATCTCAACTTAAGAGAAAATTGCTGGTTATTCTGAAGATCTAAAAGTAAGGCCACTTATTTAAAATACTTAAACACAGCCTTAGTCATTTATCTTTAGTCGCATCAGTTTTGAAATTGTGTGCCTAACACAGGAATGAGAAGTACTCAAATGTGAAGAAATAAAAAATTTAAAATCCCTGCCTTTCACTCACTTAACAGTGAGGATAAACATAAATATTTAACCCTTGTATCACTCACCACACAGTACACTCTACAAATCTTTGTAGTCTGCTGTACAGCCCTTTCCACATAACCCCTACATATCAGAGAATTGGTAACTGACCCTTTCACTTCACTGCTCGCAAATCTAATCTCTAGTACAGATGCATTTTTCAGAGATAAAAAGCACTTGCTGACTCTTCCTCACCCCCACATGAAGCTCCTTTCCAAAGATGAGATATACAAGAGCTGAAGAGATCTTTAAATCCCCAGTTTATACTGAAGAAGTCACCATATAAACTATTCAAGGCATTTCCTCCAAAATTCTTATTTGGATGATATTACTCAAACTCACTTTCCAGAATTCATATTATGGCTTTGTGCTATAGATTGAAGAAATTTAAAAGAGCAGTAGAATGGGATACAAACTCCTATGATGATTTAAAACAAAACAAAAAACAAAAAAAACCCCAACAACTTTTGTCACTAAAACAGCCTGAGATTTACATGGTCTAAAACCCATTTGCTTTTTATCATATGACATTTAACCTATGCAGCAGAAAAATAAATGTTTTTGATGCGTGCAAAACACTGTACGTTAACTTTAATTGACGATTCCTGAGAAATATTTTCACCCCCCAATGTTCCATTCTATTAGCAGCTCAGCCTGAACATGAGCACCAAGGTCCCAAAAGCTGCAGCCATTTATTCCTGATACAAGTAATCTTACTAAAATCAATAGGTTAACTCATGTACTCCTGTAAGTATTTGCAAGATTAGGTCTAATAAATGATTTTCAACAGAAGCTTCCTCAGAGAGAAGGGGAGGGGTGGGGGAGTTAGAAAGGGTATGAGAATAAACAATTTATTCTTGGATAGCTTCTATGAAAAAGAAGGAAGTGTTAAGAGGATTTTGTTAGGAGACATGCATCTTTACAGAACTAATTTCTTTACTCCCACAGACCCAGTTAGAGCATTCAGACCAGAAATTTGTATAGCCCAATCTATTTGCTTGGCAATTTATCTTTAACATTAACTTATCACCAAAATAATGCAGTATTTAGTGTAAACAGTATCATTACTAGTTAAATCACCAATTATAATATCTAAATATAGTTTAAAAATACTAAAAATAATAATCTATCCTATGTTTAAATTTAAGATTTGCATGTTTTGACTCTTGTGCAAGAAAGTTAACTCACTGGCATATTCAGGGAATTAATGCAAGCAAAGTTTAAAATGGACATGAGTGGGTTTTCTTATTTCATTTTTACAGCAGATTCTCTCTTTGATCAAAAATTTTGACTGAAGTGGGAAAAAAATATATTATACCAATGCATAAAGGTATCAATGTAAATGAAGATGATAGAGAGTAATGACTGACATTATTGTGGACTCTGTGTATTCCTCAGAAATATAATGTTAAATGTGGCATTTCAAAAGAATGATAAAAGACAAATAAATTAAAAGAAATAAGGGAAGATGTTCAAAAGGGAATATGGTTTTACCCTATTTATGACCCAAGAGGAAAACATGTTGATATCCAGGCAAAGAGCTCATGACTTGTATCATTTATTGTGCAACATGTACCCTGGGGAGATCAAACTCTACTTAAGAATATGGCATTAGAGTTGAAAGAAAATAGAAAAATAATTGCCTTTAAAAAGTATTTGTTTCAAATTTGCAGGCTTCAAAAGTGCAATGGCCTTTTTGTTTTATTTTTCAGAAAACTATATATTTAAAGTCAGGTTTTTGTTTTTAAGCTCCTTTTTGCCACCATGAAATACAAAACATCTCTACTTCTTCATTTTTGTTTTGCTAGTTTAAGACTCTCTCAATTTTAACTTTTAAACTGAATTTGTTTTTTTATTCTGGGAGAAGCAAGGATTTCTTAGGTTCATCTTTTAGTGGACTAACTGTATAGTTAGGGTAGAGTTCAACAAGCTTTCAAATGCAAAACATTGTCAGGTCTGCCTAGAAGAATGCCTTGCATTTGAAATCCTTGTCTCTCAATTCTTGGACCACCACAGTTACAGTATCCTAACACTATCATTTTTTATCCTGAAATTGTGCACCTTTCCCAAAGTTGAAGAAGTCTTTAAAAATTAAGAGTAGCCAAGAAACAAATAAAAAGTGTTTAAAAAGCTAGGCTTCATTTACCAGTGGGAACAAAAATTTTGTATAAAAACCTAATTAAATAAAGCTTTCAAAGACATCTCAAAAATGGCCTCTTAAGAAAAACAAATACTTTGAGCAACTAAATTCACAATTTCTGGAAAGCTGTTTTCAATGACAAGACAAGCTGCATTTAAAATAAAACAGCTGAAATAGGTCTGCAACAGTGTAAGACAGTGATGCTCAACCTTTCAGCATCATGGGCCAGACAAGCAGAGTGGGACCAGTGCACAGACCAGATCCCATGCATAGGGACAGTTCATGGGTCAGGTCCTAAGCAGGATTAGCATGTGGGTTCAGTCACTGGGTTCAGCATGCTGGATCCTGCCACACATGCCAGATCTCCACTGATCCCACGCACTGGCCCCACCACACATAATCATGATGTAGCACGCAGAGCCTATACGGCTTCCCATGGGTCCAAAAAATGATCCCACTGCTCTCCCACCACCAAATTTCTGGAGGCATATAGAGACCCCCGGGCTGGATGACAGGCTTGTGGGTCAGAGGCTGAGCACCACGGATGTAAAACATCACTTTCTTCTGTAAGATTACAGCTAATCCAAAAGTGATTATGACCAAGAGGAGGCATAATGACATGGCCAGGTACCTGGCCAAGTACCACATGTGAGCAGCAGTAACTTCTGGTTACCACTGGCATATGTGGCTGCCTCAGCCGCCCTGCCCTAATTACACCACTGTGACCAAATACTTAGAGCAATGGTGCTCTCAATCCCTGGTCTGCGAGCAAGATCCGACCCCTCCTGTGGGGATCCCTGCGGGCTATGGTCCTGTGGGGCATGCAGGGCCTGATCCTGATCAGCCAGGTGCAGCACTGAAACTCTGGAGCCCAATCCTGGCTGGGTGGGGACAGTACCCCATATTGCCCCAACCCAGCCCCCACGCACCGAGATTGGGCCACTGGGGGCTTTGCCCCTCCCAGCCAGCTGGGATTGGGCTCTAGCTGGTTGGAGATAGCATAAGGCCTGGTCCAGGCCACACTGGCCCTGTGGCACTCATCTGGCCCATGGTGCTCACAGTTTTGGCCCCACCGTTTTTAGAGTATACATTCAAGTTAGCTTGTGGTTCTGCAACTATAAATTCAATCCTCAGTTCTTGCTGGCTTCGTTTTTTTGTCAGCAATTCACAACCAAGGTACCACCAAAATCCTTTAAAGAGGTGACACAACATGTGAGGAGAAGCAAATAGGGGCAGGCTCAAGCTTGTCCCTGACTGACCAGTCCTCAACACCCATGGCCCAGTCGCTCTACAAGGAGGCAAGCACTGTAGTATATAAATTTGTTTTTCAAATTAGGTGCCACTCAATTCACAACAGTTATGGAGAGTTGCCTCATGTCCAGTGAGGTGGAGAACCATTGATTTAAACTAACTGAAGAACTGGGTGTTGTTTATTCATAGATTTTATAGACATTTCTGGTGATACTGGTAGCTACCTTAACTCATTTATTTGAGTTGCTGGTTTATAGCTTAAACACAGATGCTATTTGAACTATAAATTTACACTGCTATTCATTACTTCCAGAGAGTTTACTTTTAGTACTTAAGTAGGATGAAATAGTCCCCCTGCACCTTCTGCATTTTTATTATGGATTTATTTAAGACTACTGAGTATTCCAATATGTTGTCCAGAAACAGCTGTACTAATAGGCATAATTCCAAGAAACAAGAATTCCAAGAATTAATTACCATCCTAAGTGATGAAGTGCCCTTTGGGCCAGATTCAACCAAAAGGACAGTATGGAAAAGCTTACATTATGGCTACTTACGCATTTCTTGTTCTGTGGTTAGAGGCTTTGTTCCAGCATGGTTTACCCAAGCGGTAAATTTACATGTTAAGAAAGCAATATAAATGAGGCAAGATTTTATATAAACCAAGTTTTTATCATTATACACTCTCCAAGTGACGCTGAAATTAGGGATGCACTGATAAAGATTTTTCTGGCCAATACCAACAGCCGATTATTCACCAGGCATGTTGGCTGATACTGATCTAATAACCAACTTGCAGGAATGCAGCCAGGCAGCATGGAGAGCAGCTCCCTGCACCTAAGTCTGTGGAGGAGAAGGGGCGTGGGGGAGGGAAGGAGAGTAGGGGGGCAGGGGCTGGGACAGGGTCAGGGAACAGGATGGAGCTGCAGGCAGCACATCCAGGGGATCAGTGTCCCAGCACTTAAAAAGGGCAGCAGTGGTGCTTGAACTAAACCTTGCCAAAATGAGCTACTACCATTTAAGTGCTGGGACACTTTTAGGAGCAG